GTTGCAACAAACCCACTGGTCGTTGGTGCTCGGCCATCACTTGTTGACATGTAAGGCACCTTGAAATGAACAAAGCCATATCTCTCTTCATCATCCTCTACCAAAACTGGTGGCAAAGGTCGTGGTACATATTTGTGCCTTCCAAGTGTACTGTATGGTGTGAATGGTAGAACTCTCGGAATATATCATTTTACAAGACTCTAGCACAAAAGGCAATCTAGATATCTCACACTCGAGTCCGAATGAACATTCAAACCCTTCTTTACCTTCCCATTTGAGATCTTCCCTTGCATAGTCTTTACTTCGTGATCATATTATTGTGCCTCTATAACTCGGCTAACTAAGGTAGGTTGTGCAACTGTGGTGAATAAAGTGGCCAATTTAATGGACTCGCCAAGGTGCAAGTCAAACTTGTTGATAGGGCCCAATATCTCTCATTGCTAGATAGCAATATTTGTTACTCTGCTCACGAATTTCCTACTAAAAGCATCGGCCACTACATTAGCCTTCCCTGGATGATAATGCAACTCAAAATCGTAATTCCTTATAACCTCCATCCATCTCATTTACCTCAAATTCATGTCCTTTCGTGAGAATAGATATTTTAGATTCTTGTAATCGAAAGACATCTGAAATATCTCCCCGTACAAATAATGTCTCCAGATTTTTAAAGCAAAAATTACCGCTGCTAGCTCTAAGTCATACGTAGGATAATTTTTCTAATGGGTTTTCAATTGCCATGAACCCTAGGCTATAACTTTCCCTTCTTGCATCAACAGACAACCCAAATCTTCTCGAGATGCATCACAATAAACCGAATAACACAAATCCCTCTCCAGAATAATCAAAACTGAAGTAGTGGTGAGTCTAATCTTAAGCTCTTGGAATGACTTTTTGTAAGCCTCACTTCACATGAATCTAACTCATTTCCTCGTCAACCTAGTCAATGGCGAAGCCTGTCTAGAAAAATCTTTTACAAAACGTCGGTAATACCCGGCTAAGCCTAAAAAACTTCGAATTTCAAAGGCATTCTTAGGTTGCTCCTAATCTTGCACTACATCTGTTGTAGATGAATCTGTAGTCACCTCTTTTTCGGACACCACATGGCCTAGAAACTTAACTTTGTTGAGCCAAAACTCATACTTCTCACTTAGCATAGAAACCATGTGCTCTAAGTAACTCAAGACAACACGCAAGTGTTCCACGTGTTCCTCCTCAGAGGGTGAGTAGGCTAAGATGTCGTTGATGAAGACAACCATGAACTAATCTAAAAACTTACAAAAGATTCGATTCATCAAGTCCATAAACGAAGCCGGTGCATTGGTCAACCCAAAAGGCATTACTAAAAACTCATAATGGCTATACTGCATATGAAATGTCATTTTTTGAATATTCTCTCTCTTCACCCTCAACTGGTGATACCCCGATCTCAAATCAATCTTTGAAAAGCAACGTGACCCCTTCAACTAGTCAAAAAGATCATCTATTCGTGACAAGAAGTACTTGTTTTTAACAATTACTCGGTTCAAATTTTGATAATCAATACACAGTCACAATGTGCCATTCTTATTCTTTACAAAGAAAACTAGTGCTCCCAAAGGCGAGGTACTAGGGTGAATGAAGCCCTTATCTAGTAAATCCTAGAATTGTGCCTTCAACTCACACATCTCAGCTGGCGCAAACCTATATGGTGCCATAGAAATTAGAGTCGTGCTTGGCACTAAATCGATAGAGAACTCAATATCTCTATGTGGTAGTAACTTTATAAGATCCTTCGGAAAGACATCTAGATACTCTTGAACCACTCTTGACAAATCACCTCGAATCGTACTACCCTTATTAGCTACTGAGATGGAAAAAAGGAAACTCAATTCTCCTCGACCCTTATGGTCATATAACAGAGGAATAAGACTATCACCCTGGGCACACATAAAGTAGAAACCCTTTCTTGATGGTGTACACATCAACACCCTTCTATGATGGCAATCTATCGAAGCCCAAAAGTAAGTCAACTAATCTATATCCATAATCACATCAAAAGCATGTATATCAAGAATAACAAAATTAAAGAGAGTCGACGATTTGTGACCTCAATCTCACATGAGTGGTATGCTCAACCCAATGCCACTCTACCCCCAAACAGAGGAGAGTCAAACTAATCAAACTCTAACCCCAAAGCGGATGCAAAAGAAGACGAAATGAAGGAATGAGATACACTAGTATCAATCAACATGTTGGCTAAGGAATTGAATAGTAAAAAGTTACCTTTCACAACGGGAGGTACCAACAACTATTCTGGCGTGGTAACAATATGCACATGCCCTAAAGGCCTCTAATCAACATGCTCACCCTTTAGAGCATAGGCTTGAAGAACTAACTAAGATGAAGTGGCTCCCTGGTTAGCCCTCGAGGCCTAAATGAACTGGGTTGGCTGATGGCTCTGTGTCTACTTCAAACCAGATGCAACAGATGTGCTACTCGATTGAGGGAAAAATCTCATCAAATGCCCAAACTATTCACACTGATAACAGGTAGGTGGTTGTCCTCTCCATTGACCTTGACTTTGAGAACGAGTTGAAGATAGTGTAGACTGTTGCTGTCATGACCCGAACCCGCCCCTGTAGGTTAAGGTCATAACTGGCTAGTAATTGCAGGATTACCTATAGCCTCTGCAAAGATCAAACATATATTATAATAGTAGAGGGGTGTAAAAGGAAGCAGCCTTAAAAAATTTTGCCCATTGAGTGGTGCTTACATGGCATAACAAAACATTTCCATATATGTAATAATAACCCACACCATGAACCAAAATAAACATCTTGTACATCCACGATCATACAAATGCATAGTCAGTTGAACTGGAGGCTTAAGTACACACATGTTCTATCATGATTAACAAAAGTAGTAAAAGAAGAAGCGAAGAACAAAAACAAGCCTCTTGCGTGAGGCACCTGGGCTGATTCCACAAAACTTGGGTTCCTTTTTCAAACTTCAATAAGGCTAGGGTTAAACGTCCCGATGCTCACCTACATACATATAAATAAAGAATGAGCGAAAGCCCAGTGAACATTACCCTAGTAAAGAGGTTAGACGAATAAAATTCTCTAATAGTCGATATCCTTGTTAAACACATCAAACGACCTTAGGCCCATTCACATTTCTATCAAAATATCAAATGGCCTCAGGCCTAAACGTATCAAACGACCTCTAGCCCAACATCATATTTCTATCAATATATCAAATGACCTCAGGCCCAAACATATCAAATGGCCTCTGGCCCAACATATTAAATGGCCTTAGGCCCAATTCATTCTTATCAAATGGCCTCGGGCTCAATTATCGTATCAAACAGCCTCTAGCCCATTATTTTCACATTCGTATTTATGTGCATTTCATACTTGTGATCATAATCATATTCATACTCAAACGACCTTGCGCAAAAGATAGGCATTTAGAATACTCATTCATAATTCAATCAACAATTCCATAAAGCTTATACAGAAGTAACATTTGGAAAATATCATACTTGAACATATCTTTACTAAGATATTACTCACAGTGTTTCATCGATGGATTTGCCCTTGTGCTTGACCCTACACATTTCATAACACATTGGGTCACAAACAATTCAATCTGTTCTTAACTCATTTATTTCTCTTAGGCCTCTTTCTTATCCTTTTAGTTCATTTATAATGCTCAATACATGTCTAAGAGTGCTTAGAAATGAAAGAGAACGAAAAAAGAACATAAAACAACTTTTGAAAATTTTCTGAAACAAGGCTCTTCGCTTAAGCACAGCTTTGGTCACTCGAGCAGCTTGCAAAACTTTGTAAAAGTATTGGTTGCATGAATTTTACGCTCGAGCGAGACTTCTGTCGCTCGAGCGACTAGCCATGTAAAACAAGGTTCGCTCTAGCGCAAGGTTTGCATTCGAGCTACCATGCAATTCTCTGTAAAACTTTTGGGAGCTAGCATTTTACGCTCGAGCGACGGTTTCTTCGCTCGAGCGACAGTTTCTTCGCTCAAGCGACCTGCACGAATTCTGGGTTTTCTAGAATTTTGTTTGAGCTTCAAACACACATTTAAGAGTCCAATTTCATGCTTGACTCACCTCAATTATGCAAGAACACTCCCAAATACATATATTTGAAGTTAAGTCAACCTATAGTTCACAATTCCATGGATTTAACAAAATTTGAACCGAAAACTTTATATAATTATAGTCCATGTTCCTTATCATGCATTTACAAGCTTCAAGGCTTTCAAAACTCAACCATTCATGCATGCATGTATTAAACACCCCTTAATTTAACATGATCATTAAGGTTTATGCCCAAACATGAGAAATCATTATGAATCCAAGCATGCATGTCTATATTGATCTCAAATTCATCCATTTAAGCTTAATTCATGTAACTAACTTCATATATGCCTTGAATTCACATCATTACAAACTCTTACCCACGAATTAAGAGTTAATTGCACACCTAGGAGCTTCAATCTTCCAAATTCTAGCTAGTTCTTGAGTTAGTCCTCTCAATCTTCAAGCTTTTAGCTCAATTCTTCGAATTTGCCTTCACTCTCTCTCTCTCTCTATACTCTTCTCAGCAGATTTTGAGCTCATGTAATGAGCTTAAGCACATTTAGCTTCTATTTATACACTTCCCTAATCAAACTTACTTAGAACTAATTAATTGTGCTTAATTTAATCAATTAAATATAATTAATTCGATCTGAATCAACTTTTAATTAAATTTCACCATAGGCTTTAAAAATTATACTAATTACAATGTATAATCAATTTTGGTTTCTGACGCCTCTACGACCCTGAATTTTCATTTATAGAAGCATACAGAACAGATTTTCCTACGGTGGACAGATATAGTTTCAAAAACACATATAATCGTATAATTAGCAAAATCATCTCAATCACGTAATTATGAGCATAATTAAGATTAATTAGTATAACATAGAGAAGGGTTGTCACACTCTTCCCTCATTTAGAAAGTTTGGTCCCCCAAACTTATGTTTCCTTCCGTTGAAAACAAATGTGGGTAGTGTTGTCGCATCTCTTCTTCCTTCTCCCACGTGGCATCTCTTCCATAATGTTCTTTCCATTCCATCTTTACCAGTGGACTGGATTTGTTCCTTAGTTGCTTTACTTGTCGGTTAATGATCCGTTCTGGCCATTCCTTGTACTCCATATATTCGTCAAGTGCTATTCGGTGATAGTCAATCACATGGAATGGATCTCGGAGAGAGCCCTTCAATATTGATATATGAAACACATTGTGCATTTGCTCCATTCCCGATGGTAAAGCAACTCTATAAGCAACTGGACCAAGCCTTTCTAGGATTTGAAACGATTCAATGTAACAGGGTGATAATTTACCCTTTTTACCAAATCTTAATTGGCCTTTCATTGGATTCACACGGATGAATACATGATCACCAACCTCATATTCAAGGGGCCTTCTTCCGACATCTACATAACTCTTTTGTCGGCTCTGAGCTGTCTTAAGCCTTTGTTGAATAACTTTGATTTTATCGGTAGTTATCTGCACAAGTTTAGGTCCAAGTAAGACCCTATCCCCAACTTCAGTCCAGTATATCAGAGATCTACATTTTCGGCCATACAAAACTTCATATGGTGCCATGCCACGCAAATTCAGCCAATGGTAGGTAAGTCTCCCAACTCCTTTGAAAATTCAAAGCACACATTCTGAGCATATCCTCTAGAATCTATATAGCCCATTCTGATTGTCCATCAGTTTGTGGATAGAATGCTGTACTAAATCTCAGCTCTATTCCCATTGTCACTTGAAGACTTTTTCAGAATCTAGATACAAATTTCAAATCTCTATTTGACACAATAGACACGGGGACTCCATGTAAACAAACAATTTCATCAACATAAATAATGGCTAATCTATATGCATTATGTGGTTTTCACAGGCAAAAAATGCACAAATTTAGTCAGTCTATCAACTATAACCCAAATAGAATCCATACCTCTAGGTGTCCGAGGTAGGCCAACAACAAAGTCCATGATTATGTACTCTTATTTCTATTCCGGAATAGGGAGAGGTTGAAGTAGACCTACTGGTTTTTTATGTTCAGCCTTAACTTGCTGACACTGAAGACATCTAGACACATATTCTGCAATCTCATGTTTCATATTTGGCCACCCATAACTCTGCTTTAAGTCTTGATACATCTTGTTATTACCCGGATACATAACAAACATCGATTTATGGGCTTCATTGAGAATTCTCCTCTTTAACTCAAGAATACTCAGAACACACAATTTATCTTGGAATTTCAACACTTCATTTCCAACACTATATCTTGGTTTCGAATTTGCTTCAAATTCATCAACTATATTTTTGAGGAATTCATCCTTCTTTTGTTCTGCTTGATCTCATCGATGATTGCTAGTTCGTCTGAAATGGTGGCTATCAATCCACTTTGCTCATGTAATACTACTTCAATCTCGGATTTCTCAAAATCTTGTAAGATTTCCTTCTATTCAGTAAGTAGGCAAGCTAAACTCCCCGTCAATTTTCTGCTCAAGGCATCAACAACTGTATTGGATTTCTTGGGGTGATATTGAATCTAAAGATCATAATCTTTTATTAGTTCAAGCCATCTTCTCTGCCGCATATTTAGCTCTTTTTGAGTAAAGAAATGCTTTAGGCTTTTGTGATTGGTATAGACTTCACATTTCGCCCCATATAGGTAATGCAGCCAAATTTTCAAAACATAACTGTGGCTAACTCTAAGTCATATGTTGGGTAGTTCTTTTCATGTGGTCTCAACTGTTGGGAGGCATAAACAATCACCCTTCCTTTTGCATTAGTACACAACCCAAACCTTTGTAAGAAGCATCGTTATATATCACAAAGTTTTCCATACCTGAGGGCAATGTCAAAACTGGAGCAGTGGTTAGCCTTGTCTTCAATTCCTGGAAAGCAGACTCCCTTTCATCAATCCATTCAAACGGTTGTCCTTTGCGTGTGAGTTGAGTAAGTGGTATCGCTATTTTCGAAAAATCTTTCATAAACCTTATGTAGTACCTGACTAAACCCATGAAACTGTGGACTTTCGTTATATTTGTTGGGGTAGGCCAGTTCATAATTGCCTCTATCTTCTATGGGTCTACTGAAATCCCCTCTTTGTTGATAACATGTCCTAAGAAAACAACCCCATCTAGCCAAAACTCACACTTCTTTAGTTTAGCAAATAATTTCTTTTCCCTAAGTGTTTGCAAGACAGTTCTCAAATGGTGTTCATGTTCAAGTATACTTTTTGAATATATCAAAATATCATCAATAAAAACTACAACTAAGTTACGTCTTGAAAATTCGGTTCATCAAATTCATAAATACTGCAGGGGCATTAGTCACTCCAAATGCATAGCAAGAAATTCATAGTGACCATACCTTGTCCGAAATGCAGTTTTCTCAACATCTTTCGCTTTTACCTTTAACTGGTGGTACTTGGATCTCAAATCAATTTTGGAAAATACTTGTGATCCCTACAACTAAGCAAATAGGTCGTCAATACGGGGTAAAGGATATATATTCTTTATAGCTACTTTGTTCAGTTCACGGTAGTCAATACACAGGCGCAAGGTTCTATCTTTCTTTTTCACAAACAATACCGGTGCACCCTATGGTGAAGTACATAGTCGAATAAACCGTTTGTCCAATAAGTCTTATAATTGTTTTTTCAGTTCTTTCATTTCGGTAGTAGACATCCTGTAAGGAGTTTTTGAGATAGGCTGAGTACTTGGCATAACATCAATAGTAAACTTTATCTCCCTGTCAACCAATTCTCATGGTAATTCATGTGGGAATATATTTGGAAACTAGCTAACAATAGGGATACTGCTCAATTCAACATTTATAGATTGTTCAGACAATACACAACACAAATAATCCTGACACCCTTTCCTGATCAGTTTACATGCTTTCATTGCAAATATCAAATAAGGTGGAGATACTACCCCATTACCCACAAACATAATTTCTTCTTGCCCTGGTGGTCTACACACAATTTGTTTTGTTACATAATCGATGGTGGCACAGTATTTAGATAACCAGTCCATATCCAGAATTACATCAAAATGTCTAAAGTCCAAGGGCAACAAATCTACATATAAGGTAGCACTCCCAATATGCATATCACAAAATTAAGACACAGATGTACACAACATAGATTTCCCGAATGGAGCAGATACACATAACAAATATGGCAATGATTCTAGAGGTCTACTAAATCTAGATGCAAATGCATAAGTTACAAAGGAGTGTGTTGATTTGGAATCAATTAACACAAAAGCATCCTGATTACATATAGAGATAATACCTGAGATGACAGCCTCTGTGTTCCGTGTATCACCTAGAATGAGTGCAAAGACTCTCCCCTACTTTATAGTATCTCTGGTCTTAGTAAGTCTTGTAGTATTTCCCAATTTTAGGACTGATTCAGTTGAATTAGGAACCACTTTTCCGCTGGTTTGGTTATAATCCTTTGCTATATGTCCCATTTTGCTGCACTTGAAGCAGGCCCTTAAAAGTCGGTAGCAAACCCCGCGATGTCTCTTACCACATTGACTACACGTTGGGGACGTATCTCTAAAGGAATTTGATGTACTTGAGGATCCCGTATTCTGTTTCTTTGAAAGTCTTTTCTTTGAAAAGAAACTCAGTCTCTTACTTTTCTAGTTAGTTAATGGTTTACTTTGCTTGGCTATGTTAGCTTCTGATATTATAGCCCGATCTAGCACATCAATATAGGTTTCCAGCTTTAGCACATTCACCTTCTCTAAAATATCATCTCGAAGACCTCCCTCAAACTTCCTCGCTTTCTTACAGTTGGTATCGATCATATGCAGTGCAAATTTGGCCAATTCAGTAAACTTGGCCTCGTACTCGGCTACTGTCATGTTGCCTTGCTTAAGTTCCATGAATTCTGACACTTTTCTATGACAGACACATTGTGGAAAATATTTGTTGTAGAAGATTTCCAAGAATTGTGTCCAACCAATATCTTTATTGCTTTCATGCACCAACATCCACTACCTTCTTGCTTCATCTTCCAGTGTAAAGGTGGCTAGCAGTACTTTCTATGTTTCAAGACATGGAAACACCTCAAACAGTTTCTTTATGCCAAGGACCCATGCTTTGGCTTTAAATGGATCCAATCCCCCATGGAATTGTGGCGGCTTCATCTTCTTAAATTCTTTGGTAAGTGCTATGGTTCGGTCATCATTTTGCAAGTCATGTACAGGCTGTACCAGAGGTGGAGGTGGAGGATGCGACTGTTTCCACTATTGCTGCCACTGTTGCTATTGTCTCAACGTCTCTGCTATTTTCTGTATTAATCTTTCCATCATGTCCATTTTGACAGTAGAACACTCCTATAATTCATCAGCTCTTGTTCTCACTATTATCTGATTAAACTTGCATTATTCTTTATACAAAATGTACATAAGTATGCATATACAAAAGAGCATACATATTCAAGTAAATCACAATGCAAGTATATCGCAATGCATATAGCACACAGTCATTCGTTTCAAAACGTTTAAGCATATTCTCAATGCCTTCAAGTTCATACTTATCACATGAATGCATCCTAGATCTCTTCTAGACACCTATTGCTCAATTGGAGAGGTGTATGAGTTATTAAGCTCTGATACCACTCTGTCATTACCCTAACCCGCCCTTATAGATTAAGGTCATAACCGACCAGTAATCATGAGATTACCTATGGCCTCAAACAATATTAAATGTATCTGAATAGTAATAAATGGGGCCAAAACGGAAGCAGACTTAAAAATTTTGTCCAATGAGCTGTGCTTACATGGTATATCTTCTTGCTTCATCTTCCAGTGTAAAGGTGGCTAGCAGTACTTTCTATGTTTCAAGAGATGGAAACACCTCAAACAGTTTCTTTATGCCAAGGACCTATGCTCCAGCTTTCAATGGATCCAATCCCTCGTGGAATTGTGGCGGCTTCATCTTCTTAAATTCTTTGGTAAGTGCTATGGTTCGGTCATCATTTTGCAAGTCATGTACAGGCTGTACCAAAGGTGGAGGTGGAGGATGCGACTGTTTCCACTATTGCTGCCACTGTTGCTATTGTCTCAACGTCTCTGCTATTTTCTGTATTAATCTTTCCATCATGTCCATTTTGACAGTAGAACACTCCTATAATTCATCAGCTCTTGTTCTCACTATTATCTGATTAAACTTGCATTATTCTTTATACAAAATGTACATAAGTATGCATATACAAAAGAGCATATTCAAGTAAATCACAATGCAAGTATATCGCAATGCATATAGCACACAGTCATTCGTTTCAAAACGTTTAAGCATATTCTCAATGCCTTCAAGTTCATACTTATCACATGAATGCATCCTAGATCTTTTGTAGATGCTTACTGCTCATTTGGACAAGTGTGTGAGTTATTAACTCGTGTTCTGATACCACTCTGTCATGAGCCGAACCCTCCCATGTAGGTTAAGGTCATAACCGGCTAGTAATCACAGGATTAGCTACAGCCTCTGCAAAGATCAAACATATTTTATAATAGTAGAGGGGCCAAAACAGAAGCAACCTTAAAAACTTTTGCCCATGAAGTAGT